CAGAAAGAAAATGTTGTATTACATATAACCTTACAATGTCACAAGGTGTTAATTAATAAAAAACTTATTTCTCAAGGTATAAAACCATTTAGATTATCATGATTTCAACATAAGAACATTAGGATTGTGTCTTAAAAAATTATATATTTAACATATCTTTAAAAATTAATTGAAACAAAAATAAAACACATTATATTTTGTATACAGTAGAAGAGATCAGGGACGATTGCCTATGTTTTTACTTATTGAGCTCTGAAGTCCTTATGGAATATTTTTTTTGTAAATATGTAGATTTGAAGAATGTGAGATTGAGAAACATGATCAAGTTGTATTTACTATTAAAAAAAAACTAAAAATATAACTTTAGGCAACTTTCTTTTTTATTTTATATACAATTAGGCAAAAATTGAAAATTTTTATAAAAAACCTCAAAAGTTCTTTTTAATAAACAGAAAATAAAAATACTGAAAAAACAGCAACTATTGAAAAAAACAGTCAGAAAAAAGAAATTATTTGTGACTGGACTCTTTTTTTTTCATAAGACTATTTTTCACAATTTTCTTCCTAAAGAAAAAAAGAAAGTGATGTTTCAAAAATTACTTAAAATATAATTAAAAATATATAACTGTTATACATCATATAGTTGTTTTATAAAAACAAATGAAATATTTTATAAAAATTCATTTTTCTTATGCTTTGCAAATTAAATAAAATTTTAAAAATTTAATTGTGATATCTCTAAGCTATAAAGATATAGTGACAATTATATTGAAATCTTTTTTTAAATAAACCTTGAACCAAAGAGTTCTATTCTTTTACAATTGTTTTTCAACTGTTTAGACTATAATTTTAATTATTACTATCTTTTCCGTTCAATTTACAATAATACTCTTTTATGAACTCGTAATTGATTTTATATTCTTTTCAGAAATTAGGAGAAAATATATGTTATGTTGATGTGATATGTAAGTTAAAATTTGAGGTAATCTAATTTTTAATTTCTAACAGACTTAATACAAATAGATTTTTTAAGATTCTGGTATATATACTTCTTAAATATATTCTTTTTACATAATATATAATATAGGCATGTATAAAAAAAAGCATTATATGAATTTAAAAAAAAAAAAAAAAATCTTTTTTACATTTTTTTTATGAATAGAACCAATAGAAGGGTATTAAAGCAGTATTATTTTATACTAGCTGATTTGACCCGTAAAAATTTGGGTTTTTGTAAGTCTTTTCCACACTGAACTTTTCTATACTTTTTCCTTATATATATATATACATTTCTATACTTATCTATTCCAAATCGATCATTTCTATATTTTCTATTTGTTTACTTCAATATTTTTACGTAAAATAATTCATTTAAAAAAATTACTTTAAGAACAAAAAAATGTGCACCCTTTCAGCATAGCTAGAGCTTATAATAGATTTATAATTAGGTTTGTCTCCTAAACGCATATCATTGATAGCTCAGTGGTTTAGTGCGCTGTCACCAGTGTTGTTTTTGCTATAAATATTTTTTCTATAAATATTGCTATATATACAGCAAAATTGAAAAATTTTCAAAATTTATAAGGGGATGTCTTTAATCCCTCATTAAAGACATCCCATAATAAATTTTAAAAATTTTTTAATCTTGCTGTATATATAGCAATATTTATAGCAAAAATAGTATTGCAGTTTATTATTATTTTATAATAACTATATTATTTTATAATAGTATAGCAGAACTAAGAAGACCTTAGACCATTAAAACTATAGACTAAAAAATGTTAAGAATCCCCCATAAATTATGCAATCCTTAATTTATTTCTAAAAAAGTTGAAGATCTTCAGTTCTTTAGGGTGGCCACTTTCATTAAACTTAATGAGCTATTTTAATTTTTTATTTAACATACAACTCTTCGAGGAAAAATTTTGATCTTTTTTATTTTGTTTATTAGTGAAATTTAGTATTGCTTAATTTATAGGTGATCTCTTATTTAAAAGTTTAGATTAGGGATCAGCCAAAAAGTGTATAAAGCCAAAATATTATAGAGTATAATACAATTTTGGTAGTTATCTAAATTCTATTGTTGTTGCGCACTCGATTTCTAATGTATAAGCGTGTTAAAATAGCTGTAAAACTCTAAATTTCCATATTGTATTAAGGTGGTTAAATAGTAAAAAAAGTATTTTTTGATTTCTAATTTTTTCTACATATCAAATTAATAGCAAGGCTAAATAATACTTAATTTAATTTAAAATGCTGAAATAAAAATTTATTTACCCTTTTTTATACTGATTCAGCATTAAATAAAAAAAAAACAATAAAAAAGAAAACTCCATTTTTTCAGCTTTTTATGACATTAAAAGTTAAAACTTACCACAATGTAATTTATAGTGTAACAAAACTTTACTAAAAAAACTTAATAAAAATTATTTCCAAAATAGCATTTAATTTTAATAGGTTTTATTGATGCAAAAACATTAGTAAAATATAAATATATTTAAATGAAAAAAAAGTTAGTAAGGCATTGCATTTATATCTGTAAAGAAACAATCCTGGAAATTTGAAGTTAATTGCATATCTGGTTAAAAAGATATGAATAATTTGCTGTTCGCAGTCAAACAAAAAAATTAATTGAGAAATTAAGCTTCAAATTTAAAAAAATATATATATTGATTAAAAATTTCATGCACTCATTTTAACCAACACCATTATCAGGTTTACAACTTTGGTTTTTAAGTAGTTTAGTAATTATACAAACCTAAAAATAAAAACAACTTACTTCTTAGAATAACATCAATAAAAAATATGGTTGCTATGGGCATAACTAAGTAAATTTCTTAACTAATAATCAATAAAATCAGTTACTTAACTGTTATTTGTTATTAAAACCATATTATGTCATATATGGTAGAAAAGCCAGTTAAAATTTATACAAAGTTAGAAAATAAAATAAAAAATAATTTTTTTAATGGAAATTGATAAGATTTTACTATATAACCACCTAATATTAAATGACTTTAACTAATAATTATTTTCAAAAGTAATTAATTTAATAAAATAGTTTAATTTAAGTAAAAAATTAGAATTTTTAATTATGTTCTTACATAAAACATACTTTTTATACACCCTAACTGTTTTTAAAAAGTTAAGGTCGCGACGTGGCAAGTTCAAACTATCAGCTTGCTTTACTTTTCAAATTTTTGTTATTTAAAATGCAAAACAACTTTACAGTTCTATAGATTTTATATTCTACATATAAACATGTTCTATACTCATTTTTCTTTTACAAACTCAACTTAGTTGTAAAAAAACTTGAAATGTAAAACTAAAATAACATAAGTATCGCAAACATGACACATACACAACAAATATCCCTTATTTTTTATTGTTTTTAGAATTTTTAGCTTTTTTAATATCTTTTCGTTTGTTAAAGTGTATAATATCATTCACTATGTTTGTATATAATCTTTATAAAACTTCACAAGTATTTTGTATTTTGAAAAATTAAAAAAAAAAAGCTACTGATGGATGGTCTTGAACCACAACCTTTTGTTAAGAAGCTCAAAATAAAATTTCAATTTTCAACGTACCACGCAAGTACGTTGAAAATTAAATTTTTAAAACTATATAAATTTTTTTTTTAACGGTAGTAAATGCTGTCGATCAAAAATTATAGAGAGGTTGACGCAATTCAATTTTCGAGTAAAAGTAACACAGTAAAACTTGATACATTAGATATTTGCATACACTTTCGTTCACGTATTCTTATAAAACAAAGTGTTAAAAAAAAGTAAATTTCAAAATCTTCATTTTATTAAATCTAGCTAATAAATGCATAAAATCTGAAAAAAATCAATTCAAAAAAAAAAGCGTTTGCCAATATAACAAATAAAACATAGCATTTTATGTACAAAGAATGAAAACACGGTGTTGTTTAAATAACAATCCTAAATTTCAGAAGCCAAAATGAATAACATGTCAACTCACATTCACATGAAGTGAATGGAAAAGTAGCAAGTAACTTTTATAATGTTTTCACAAGCAGCAAAATTTATCACTTTTAACAACTCAGTAGTATTAAAATTGAAATCACCTTTTTAAATTTAGCCAAAAGGCTTTGCATAAATGAAGCTCACAAGGTTAAAGCATGGGAATTCAGTAGATCTATTTCATAAAAGTCACTAAAAGATATGATGAAGCCCTTCTAGTGTTATGTAAAAATTGAACTTCTGATATTATTTTTGTAGGAACTAGCACAAAGTTCTTGAAAAGTATTCAAAACAAAAGTAAACTTTTTCCACCCAACGTGTTCTGCAAAAGCGTTTTAATTGTTTTTTAACAGCCAACGGAAACTTTTAATATGCTTCTCTAACATATTGTTGCCTGGTACATACAAGTTTAAAATGTATAATACCTCATTAAAGTGTGCCAAAAAAGATACTTGACATATTGCACTTTGTGCAATATGTCAAGTATCTTTTTTGGCACTATGACATAGTTTTTGGTACTATGACATAGTGCCAAAAAGATACTTCACTTATTGCACTTTGTATGAGGCACAAATAGCTAAATTAAGTCTAAGACTGTTGCAATGAGCTTATGCAGATTTTTCATTTAGATTTAAAATACAAGAGAACAAACTTTTAGTGTGACTATCAATTGCTCTAGCACCATCATATCAATGAACTCTGCAATTCATGATATAAAATAATCTTTAGTAATAATAATCCTAAATTAGTAAAAATTAGTAAAAATAATCCTAGTAACACTATTTGTGCAATCTAAGAAACTGATAAATTCACTTATTGAACTTTGAATCAACAAACCATTTAATTAATAATAGTTGTTTTTTACATTAACTGTCAGAAACTTCATCAGATCCTATCATATCATATGGTGTCTTAGATATGTAAGAAGCATTTTTTTTTTGATAATATCTAAGTTGATCTTGAAGAATTTTATCACCAGCTTTAAAGCAAACACTTTATTTTTTACGAAAACTAAATAACTTACTTGAGTCGAAAAGACTTGTATCTTTACAAGAATTTATATTTTTCTGTAATATACCTTTCAAAGAGATTTTACTTTGCCATTTTGTTGCATGATGTTTTCAATTATATGATTTATATTCCACTTATGTATTTCTACTTATTATTATTTATTCTCTAATTCTACTAATTATTATTTATATTCTACTTACGTACCCTAGATCCGCCTCTGGTATCGGTAGTTGGTTTTTAAACAGACCAACTTTTGATTGTTTCAAAATACCTTTACTTAAAATTTTGCTAGGTTTTTATGAATTTTACTTCTAACATCTAACATTAAGAGACATTTTAAATATCATAATAAACTATATATACTGCAGGGTGTAAGTATTTAATTTTATTTTTAGGTACATCTACAGACATACTAGATGTATCCTAGTCCGCCATTCCTGCTGAAGCCTATATATATATATATATATATATATATATATATATATATATATATATATATATATATATATGCTTATATATATATATATATATATATATATATATATATATATATATATATATATATATATATATATATATATATATATATATATATATATATATATATATATAATATATATATATATATATATAGACATGCAGTAGTGGTGCAGTAGTAGAATGCTTGCTTCATAAGCGAGAGGTTCAGAGTTTGATCCCCACCACATCCCTGGTAGTACCAGGCTCAACTTGTTTCTCCATGCAGCGGCCTTGTTCGTCAAGGTTCGTGTTTTGGAGTTATAGAGTTAAGAGAGGGTTATAACTACAAATAAGTAGCCTCCTCGTCTGTAGTGGCCTTCTCGGCTTTGAGGAGGTTAATAAAATATATATATATATATATATATTAGTGGTGTACCAATAGCACTTTTTTGGCAGATGCCGATACCAATGCTGATGAATGGGAAAAGGTCAATACCAATGCCGACACCGATGAGTTAACTATCAAAATTTTGAAAATATAAAACCATACGACTTTAAATCGTGTAATCTTTTTCATGGAATCAGTACTGGTAAAGAAATAATTGAACCCAAATCAGAGCCAAACCATTATTTTAAATGATATTACAAAAACTCAGTTTAAAAAATATACATTTTAAAGTTTTTTTTACTACGAAAAGAAAACTTTCAAAAAAATAAATACAATTATAGAGAAATCCTTTTTATTTCAATTTTAAAAAGAAAATGTTACTATCATTAGCAGTTTGCTTAGAACTCTTTATTAATTTATTAGTAATTTAGATATCTAAACAATCATTTACTGTTTAGATATCTAAATAATTTTTAGGTAATTAAATTGCTTTTATTTTTAATTTTAATAATTTGAATAATTTTATTTTGTGATGTTCAATCCCCATGTCCCTGGTAGTATCGTACTCAACTTGTTTCTCTGTGCAGTGGCCTTGTTCATCGAGGTTTGTGTTTCAGAGTTATAAAGTTGAGAGAGGGTTGTAACCACAACTAAAGTAGCCTCCTCAACTGGAGTGACCTTTATGGCCTTGGGGAAAGAAAAACATATATATATGTATATATATATATATATATATATATATATATATATATATATATATATATATATATATATATATATATATATATATGTATATGTATATGTATATGTATATGTATATGTATATGTATATGTATATGTATATGTATATACATATGTATATGTATATATATGCATATATATATATGCATATATATATATATATATATATATATATATATATATATATATATATATATATATATATATATATATATATATATATATATATATATATATATATATATATAGAAAGAGAGAGAGAGAGAGAAATATAGTTATACTATACTTTCATACCTGGGTGGCTTTCTTTTATTAATGTAATCTGGGGGATATTCTTAACTCTGCATTAATGAAACCTAATTTCAAAAAATCATTCCAGCATTTGCAAATGAAGTAATATCAAAAACTTTACTCAAATACATTAAAAGAAAATTAAAACAAAAACAATTTTTCTTTTAAAACAAATCTAAAGTTTTAGTACAGTTTGAAAAAAAAGTATGAGAGTACGGCTCCTGGTTGACTTAATTGATTTCAAGTTATACCAAGTTGGTGATTAAACTTGATATCAAGTTTAGTTGATTGACTTAATTATATCAAGTTTAGTTTGTAAGAAATAAAATATTTTTTCTAAAAGTAACTTCAAGAAAAAACATTTTTTATTGATGTGTAAAAAACATTTAATAAATGACAAAATTAACAAATCTACCTTAAATATCAGATAAAAATAAAATTTACTAATTATTCACTTTACTTAATAATACCATATCTTTGCAAAACATTTAGATTAAACTAAGAAAAAACATGTTTTTGAAAAAAATAAACATACTGGTAGAGGAAGTTCTGGAGCAGCAGCACCAACATGTATTGCATCATAAGGTCCACCTTCTTGATAACCAAGCCGACCATCTCCAGCTTTAAAGTTTCAAAAACTACAAATTTTTGGTATATAATTTGGAAAACAAAAAAAACATGCTTTAAAATTTTATAAAACTTTCCAGTGTAGTGGTGTCACTAAAATATTAGTGGAGTGAATAAAAATAATCGTAGTCTCATTAAAATAATAGTGTTATCACTAAAATATTAGTGGTGTCACTAAAATATTAGTGATGTCACTAAAATATTAGTGATGTCACTAAAATATTAGTGATGTCACTAAAATATTAGTAATGTCACTAAAATATTAGTGGAGTGAATACAAATAATAGTTATTCATTAAAATAATAGTGTTATCACTAAAATATTAGTGGTGTCACTAAAATATCAGTGGTGTCATAAAAATATTAGTGGTGTCACTAAAAATATTATATTTTGACTAAAGAAAAAATTATATATATATATAATTAGCTCTCATTCTAGTGCTGACTTAATAACTGTTATAATAGAAAGATTCTATTGTGAATAAAATGCAAAAATTCTATTGTGAATAGAATGCAAAGATTCTATTGTGAATAAAATGCAAAGATTCTGTTGTGAATAAAATGCAAAAATTCTATTGTGAATAAAATGGAAGTGGTAAGGAAAGGACAAATATTTTTGAATTCTTAAAGTATTTAACAAAAGTCTGTCATGCTGGTTTTCATAAACCTCATATGGTTTATTTGATAAAGATTTTAAAACTATTGCACCATTTTTTTCTAAATCCAGTATTAAGTTGTCTTTTATAGACAACAATCTTTATTTTCAGTGAAAACTGGGGTATCACAAGGTAAAAATCTTGGTCTTGTTTTGTTCCTTATCTTATAATATTTTAAAATTGTATTTAATGCTGCTGCTTCTACTGCTGCTACCATTACTCATTTGTGTGCGTATACACAGTGATTACACTCAAGTTAATGGCGAGAAAGAGTTGCAGCACTTTTTTTATAAGAAAATGTGAACAAGTGTGTATGCAAATATTTAACTTATGAAAACTTCAAATTATGCAATGTTAAAACATATATCAAATTTTAAAGTTTTTGCTTTTACTTTCAAATTGTATTGCAACAACATCTCCTTGATTTTAATTTGAATATTTGCCATTTTATAAACCTCTTGTTTATTTAATAGTGTTTAAAATTTATATCAACAATACGTCTTAGTGGCCAAATTGGTTAGCTTGCAGTAATCTAAAGTGGTTAGCTCGTTGCGCTTACAAAGTATGCGAGGGTTCAAATCCTGTTTCTTGCTCATTAATTTTTTTTTTTTTTTCCTAATTTTTTTAAAATACAAAATAAAACATTTTGTATTTTAAAAAAAAGATCTATTGTTTTATACATAACATGTATAAAGATATTATATGCTATAACAAACAAAAGAGAGTGTTTTTAAAAAAGCCTAAAAATTTCAATTAACATTGAAACAGGGATAGAAATTTTTTGCACACATGATAGAGATTCTTAAAAAGTCTGCCTATTTAACACACATTACAGGCTTGGTCGGGAAGCGGGAGCGATCGCTCTCGATTGCTGACCACGTAAATAATATTTAGTTGCGAAAAGCTGGCCAGATTTTTAGTCGTTTTGAGAACATTTTAAAAAGCAAAAAAAAAGAAGCAACGAAGATTAATTGGACCGATGAGAGACAATTACAAAAAAAAAAATTAGACAAATAAAATATCTTTAAACGCGAAAAAACTTAAAGCTAAATAAATTACATTTAGAAAAAATGTTTTCGAAACATCGCTCTTTTATAATTTTTTTTATAAAATTAAGCGATGTTTTTTATATAAAGTAACAACTTACAATTGTATAAAAGGGAAACAAATATTCTTTATTTAACTAAGTTTGCAAGTTTTAGTTTTACTTAAGCTAAATTATTTTATAAATAAAAAAGTTAATTTTTTTAATACCTATTTTATGTTTCGCGTAGTTTGAAAAGTTTAACATATTTGAAGCAATTCTTCTTAGTAAGATAAACAAATGAAATAATTAAATCATTGAATTACTATAGGAATTAAATTATCAAGATAGAAATCAACTAAAAAGGTTAAAAATACTATATGACCAGGAAGCGAAACTGCTTCACAATATCGCTGATGATGTTTAGTGAGTGGGTTTTTTAATTTTAATTAGTATTTAAAGCAGAAAAAAGTATAACGAGTTTTAAGAATGGCAACTTAAACGGAAATAATTGGAGTAAGTAAAGCAATATCTAGAAACTTTTCTTTATATCTAATTATTTGCTATATATATTTGTGTTCTGTCGTGACCTCAGGCGTGATGCTTGTTCATCCACGAGTTACTTTGTATGCGTTGTTTGTGTTTAGTAACCAGAAACTACTTATATGTTTGTTACATAATTAGTTTTATTAACTTTAACGATTATAACTTCATTGAAAACGCAATTATTTTTGTAAGTCTTTGTTTAAATCATAAAAATTGCTTTAAAAGATACATTACGATAAAAAACAAATACAAAAAATTACATTTACATAAAGAATACAATCTCTTTTAAAAAAAAAATAAGATTATACTAATAAAATCTATGATTTATAATAAACTTTTAAAATTTTAACAATTTAATCAATATATATTTAAAGCATTTAATGTCGTAAACAAATAATATATATTGTTAAAACAATGCTAGAAATCTCAAAACGTAACAAATCGTGAGTAATACAATTTCTAAAACATTTTAACTCTCTACAACTTTATTTCGCTTAATCAGCGTATTTTTTGAACCAATAGAAAAAGTTTGTTCGTTAATTTGGCGGGTTTTTAGTGTTCGCAAATATTCTTTTTATTCTTTCGCACAAAGATGTTTTGAGAATATTCAAGTTTTTTATGTTTTCATGTAAGTCCGTAAATCAAAAAAATATTTTGTTTCGTACATACGTACATAAACTTAAATGTTCTCAAAACGACTAAAAAACCTGGCCAGTTTTACGCAAATGAATATAATTTCCGTGGTCAGTATTCGAGAGCGATCGCTCCCGCCTCCGGACCAAGCCTGACATTAAGGAGTCAATTTTTTTATTATTTAACTATTATTTTCTTCAAAATTAGTTAACGGGACAAGGGTACTAATAATCTGCAGGTGGTCTGGAAAACAATTTTGCTTGAAAACTTAATAGAAACTTAAAAAAGAAAAAAATTTATGTCTGTGCCGGTTTTTCTTAAATAAAAGTTTACAATTTTACAATAAAAAGTTATAAAGTACTGAACATTAATTGTTAACTCACAACAAAGATTTTTATTTTCTACCACTTGCTAAGATTTATTGAAATGAAACAACTATATATAGAATAAGTATAGAAATGGTCGGTGTGTAATAGACTTACTATGACCTGTATTATATGGGTCATGGTAAGTTCATTATTTTACATTTTTTTAAGTGTAATTTGAAATGTTTTTTAAATTTTTATACAGATTGTAATTAATTAAAACACTTTAAATGGGTATTCTAAATATGATATGGAATACCCACTTCACATATCTGAACTGCTTATAAATAGTTATTCACACAATGACAACCAAAGCATTTTAAACTTTTTAAAGTTAATTATGTTAAAAATTATTTTTTAATGCATAACTTTAAAAGGTAGATAATATGTATAGTTTTTCTACCCCTTTTTAAAAAATATTGATAGTATAGAAATGGTTGGTGCAGAATAGACTTACCAAGACTCATATTTTACGAGTCGGAATAGCTAGTCTATATAATTAAATTTTTAATAATCTTATAGATTATATATCAGTAAATATTATAACCTGATATTTATTCTAGAACTCTAAAAACAACTCAAGAATTTATTTGTTATAAATTATGAGAAAAAACAAGCTGGTGAATCTTTACAGAAATCAAAAAAAAATATATTTTTTTTTAAAAAAAAAAAGGTGCGAATATAATGAATTATTTTTTCTTAATCTAAAAAAGGCTGAAAATGAAAAACAACACCTTGTAAAGATTGACTAATTGCAACTGAGGCAAAGAAAAGGTCATTTCAGTACAAGAGCTGAAAGAAGATTTAAATTTACCAATTGGTGTTACCCAAACTAAATCAAGATTAAATGAAGCTAAGTTATATATTGCCGCATAGCTAGGATATAATATTATGTATATTTAATATATATAATTTATGTATATAATATTATGTATATTTAATATATATAATTTATGTATATAATATTATGTATATTTAATATATATAATTTATGTATATAATATTATGTATATTTAATATATATAATTTATAAATATAATATTATGTATATTTAATATATATAATTTATGTATATAATATTATGTATATTTAATATACATAATTTATGTATATAATATTATGTATATTTAATATATATAATTTATGTATATAATATTATGTATATTTAATATATATAATTTATGTATATAATATTATGTATATTTAATATATATAATTTATGTATATAATATTATGTATATTTAATATATATAATTTATGTATATAATATTATGTATATTTAATATATATAATTTATGTATATAATATTATGTATATTTAATATATATAATTTATGTATATAATATTATGTATATTTAATATATATAATTTATGTATATAATATTATGTATATTTAATATATATAATTTATAAATATAATATTATGTATATTTAATATATATAATTTATGTATATAATATTATGTATATTTAATATATATAATTTATGTATATAATATTATGTATATTTAATATATATAATTTATGTATATAATATTATGTATATTTAATATATATAATTTATGTATATAATATTATGTATATTTAATATATATAATTTATGTATATAATATTATGTATATTTAATATATATAATTTATGTATATAATATTATGTATATTTAATATATATAATTTATGTATATAATATTATGTATATTTAATATATATAATTTATGTATATAATATTATGAATATTTAATATATATAATTTATGTATATAATATTATGTAT